GATCATGTTGACCGTGAAAATACGCCACATTCGATGGTGTCGCTTTTCACACATCGCATCCGGCGAAGGTTCAATATTTCTTTATCCATTTAAGATCATTGAAGGTCCATGCACCGAATCAGTCACAAAACCTATTTCACTATTACTACTTCCTCTCCTTCATTTGCTTACAAACCAGAAGTGTTGCTCTAGAAATAAATTGACAGACGTGACAATTACACTTAACTTTTGAGATGTTCTTTTTCGTTTTTTTTTTTTTATCCCTTTCCTTTATCTTAGTTAAAATTTGTTCTTGAGAGAAACTACAAACGTATGATAAGAACGTGCGGAACATATCCTTCGAAGTCAAAATTGATTAAGTAAACTATATTTAGAATGCAAACGAAACCTATCAAAATAAACCAAACTTTAACAAAGGAACAAATGTCTGTTTCAAATAGATCTAATGAGTGTGTCCAACGGGAAACCTGCGGCTTTCAAGGTCAAAATACGGCAGATGGCACGTGCACCACCGAATGTAAACGACAGTCCCATTGGAGTTTGTCTCTAAACCAAATAGCACGTTTGTCAAATGGGTGCCAATACATCACCACGTAATTGAAGGGTACGAGATAATCAATCGTTTTCTCATCTGCAATTAATAAAGCGAACTACGTAAGGGTTAAGGTGGCAAGTGAGTTTTTTTTACAAAGAAAACCTTAAAAAAACAGCGGAAAGTTGTAAAATATTTACGTTGGGGTAAAATTAATACGATTCCAGTGCTCGCACTGGTTTCGCAATAGTATCTCCTGTCGATGAACAAGTGGAGATAACGTTGTTTTGTGAGGGAATTTGATCTTGCGGATTTGATCATATCAGAACATATTCTTTTGAGAGGTCATAAAGCTACTCTTTAATCGGTTATGGCGGTGGATATCAGATTGCCTTTAATATAGATTTCCGTTGCTCCCGAATCCTCAGAATTATCATTTTCGGTCCCTCCACTGCCTCACGAGATACATTGTTAACTATATAGATTTCTTGAAGGAAAGCTTTTTGGTACGTTCATGAGCCCTTAGTGTTTTTTGTGTTAAGTTTTTCAACGGATCCAAATCGTGGGGCATTTCAGTTTTCACGTACGGCCGAAGTCATCTGATGGGGGGCTAAGTCTAGTGGGTATTATGTTAAGCGCATGTGCAAACAAAATGGCCGATGATACTAACTGTAATCTGTGTCCACGTAAATTTAGTGTGATTTAGCTGCATATCTTAGATCGGTTTAAGATCTTCCAAAAACGAGCATTTGAATAATGTCACTTGATCATAATCCCCAATGTTCTGCCTGCAAAATAGCGAATTCTTTGATGTGGAGGAGAGGGTCTAATGGCGAAATCCTTTGTAACAGCTGCCATTTGAAGCGAGTTAATTCTAGCGTTCGTGCTCAGCGACAAAGCTCTAAGGAGAGCAAAAAGCTCATTGCAAGGATTAAGGCAGGAACACGAAAAGGTTGGAATGGAAAGTCAGGGGAAAGATCAAGAGGTCGCCGTTCCTTGCAAAAGATGAAACGAAAGGTAAATTTAAGTAAATGTTATATTTTACCTCAGTACATACCACATGAACATTAAATTGTTTTATTGTAAACTGCCAAATTTATTTCCTGAGGCTTTTTTTTTTCATAAAAAATGTTTACTACTCTACTGAGGTCCTGAAGGAGAGAGGTGACCATAAACTACTCGATGAAAAGGGTCTGTATTGATCACTAACAACAAATTAATGAGAAGAAATTTCACGTTGGCCTCAAAGGATAGAAAAAAAATGTACATTAAGACAATAAGTATAGTGTAAAACCCAAACGACCACTTTTTCGATTTTTTTTCCAAAATGCGCCCAGACTTCCAACTTCCATGCAATAGACTTACAATTTTTACGTGGCTGTAAGGATAAATATCTAGCGAGTTTTGAAGGGACAGGTTACTCCTGTGAGGAAGTCCAACTCCGTTTTTTTAATTCTTGCGTGAATGTGAGGAACCGATATATTGACTCAAATTCTTAACTGAAATCCAAATATCTCTGCAATTACTCTTTTAGTCGTTTTTAGACAAAACTGTCTTTGCAAACTTTTAGGACTTGTCCAATTTGATGAAATACATGACATTGCACCTTGTGCTTGTAGGAATGCAACTGTTTTCAACAATCATTACTTTAATGCCATTTTCATCTGACTTCAAGATGTAAATGGTCATAAAATGCAAACAATGGCATACCACTCTGCTGAACAAAGATAAAACTTTTCCTAGAGTGAAGCTCAGTCAGCATGCTACATTTACATGTATACACTCTTTTAACAGACTGGGTGTTTTACAGTTAAATTAAGTAATTTCTTGTTACTTTTAGCATAATAATTAGGAAGTAAAGATTTTACCACATTAAATTTGAAGTTATCTCTGTATGGTTCGTTTCACCCATTTGAATCAGTGACTTGAGTCAAACATCTTCTTTAAAGATTACCTTAGCACTTGTGAATACCCCAAGCTTAAAGGAGGTGCACTACCTTGTACATTGATAGACACTGATGTTATCGGTTGTCAAATATGGAACTATTTGTCATTTTGATTGCAGCCTTATAAGTCACCAGAGGGTTTTGCTACTGTAGTTGCAGCTGACAGGATTTACTTCAAAGTATGGCTTTGTGGAAATTTATTGTTAAAAATAATATAATATATAATATACTTTATATTTTGACCTGGGGATGATAGTCATAAACTAATTGATCCTCTCATCATGTGTCATTATTTGACAACCTTTAGTCAAAAAGGCCAAACAGAGAAGGGAGGGAACAATTGAAATATTCTAAGTTGATAACTACTAGTTTAGTCTTTTTCAAAATGAGTAAATTTAAGAAAATAGTTCAAGAGAATTATTGTAAGTGATATCCAAGAAAAATCCTGAACACACAAGAGCTTATTTTAAGAAAACCTCCTCTGGTGGAACAAATAATCTTTAAATTAACAAAAATTATCTCACAAGTTAAAATTTATCTTGAATGGCACTGAAGTAGCTAGAGGGAGAAAAAAACGAAACTGATCTGTCATCTTCAAACTGGAATTCTCCATCTCAATGTTTAATTGTATGTAATTACCTGTATGATTCCCTTGGGACTCAATTAAATGAAAGAGCTATTGTCTCTTGATAATAATGACAACTGTATAACATCATGGAAGCCAAAATGGTGTTTTCCAAAATGCGAGCATTGTTTACTGTATTTTGTACATTTCAGTTCTTGTTTCCTAATGTTTTTAAACTAATCTTCATGAAGCATAGCAAGTTGTTTTCCAAATGGTGGTTTATGAGTTGGTTGTTGTTTAGACAGGGAAGGTGGACATTTGTACATGATTTCACACAGTTAAGTGTTTCATTCATTTGCATTTGTTAAAGGGTATTCTTTACCAGGCTGGTGACATAGTATCCATCGAAGACATAGAGGGTGATCTGTATTATGCCCAGCTTAAAGGCTTTCTTCAAGATCAGTATGCACAGAAAACTGCAGTTATTACATGGCTTCTACCTATGGTTCCTAAACCATCACACTTTGATCCTGCTCTCTTTTTACCAGGTACAGTATGTGTACTTGTGATGAATATGAAACATGTCAGTTAACATCATGGTTTCTCTTGCTTTGTCTCAAGTTATTTTCAGACTATGTAGAAGACAGGTTTAACTCTAACAGAAGAGCTCTGATGTTTCAATTTTTCAGGACCTGAAGAAGACACTCCTAGACCGATGGAATGTATGGAGTTTGTTTGTAGAGCCCCAACAGAACTGTTTAAAGCCAGAAGAGAACATCCTCCATTTGTAACTCCACGACAACCCGACCTTAATGATTTAGCAACAGTTGCAGAACAACTTCTCTCAAATGAAAATCACCAACAGTTATAAGTTGACATTACTCTAGTTGGTGTAGTACCCGTATGCCTTGTTTGGGTATTGCACAGCAAATTTTATCTTTGTTGGAGCTCTTTCGAACATTTTCTCTCCATTTAGCAAGAGACATACAGTTCACAACCAAATGACTTTGAAAACTTAGTCATTGAAAAGGATGTTCATGATTTAAAACTGCCTACACGTACATATGGGAATTGTGTGTAGTATACTTAACTCTGTATTTGACCAAAACTTTCTCTCATTTCCTTACTCAGACCTTTATTAATTACTTTTAACCCTTAACACCTAACATCAGTATGCATATTCTCCATACTATTCACTACACATTTCCTAAGGTGCAAACAAGAGCTGCTTTAGTTTAATCTTGTGACCTTAATTAATGTTTGATTCAAGGGTGATATTGTAAGAGGGGAATTAGATGCAAATCACTCTTACAGGTCAAAGGATTAATGATATCATAATTAATTTGAGAATATTCACATTACATTGCTGTTTCTTCAGTTCTGCCTGATCGAATAGAGATAAATTACCAGCTGAATAGGAGTTGATAATCCAGGACATAATAGACTATTCAACATAGCAGAATACATACTATGTGGATGAAAACTGCAGAGATTCAATACATAATGGACTTTCTTAAAACAGTGAACATGGTTTGACAATATTACAAAAGATCCTAGGTTGACAGAGGAAGTAAAAGTTAGTGTCTGATTGCCAACTAAAGCTTGCTGGTAGTGCAGCCAATTCCTGGCTACTGGCTGGCATTTCTGGTCAATCATTTACCACATATAGTAACCAAAGCTTGCTCTTGAACAGCTACATTGCTGTTAAGTTAAGTTAATCCATTCCATCACTTGATTGAAAGTACTGGTCCTTTTTTTCCATGCTGAAACCAAGTAGCGATGTCAAAAATGTCCACCTGCTTCCATTTCAACAGATTCAGCTAAAAGAACAATAGCTGAGCACTGCCTGAGGTACCTCCTGGTGTTCAATTCAGTGTTTACTTCTGAAGAGCCCCTGAATCAGAACATTTTAGTTACTGTTGCTGATGTAGCCTTCTCCATGTTGTATTGGCGAAAAAAAGACTTGGAATATTCATAAGTGCTGATCATTACAGCACATGCTGGCGCCACTTTTATCAGTCTTGCTGATACACCTTTCAAAGGAAAAAAAATAAAGCTGACACCTTACACAGACTTACATTTCTAAAAAGGATTTTGTATGAGGATCATAAGGATTTTAGCATTTGGTTTGGGCTGTATCTTCCTTCAGACACTCCTAGCCATCAAGACTATG